CGCCTGACCGGAAACGAACCGGCGAAATGGGAATCGGAATCGGCGGCGGCGGTGGCCGATGCGTTCCCGACTCCTGGCAGTTTATATGTAACCGATTAAACTACACCGAACGAAACCGGGGGTCCGACTCATCTATTCCGAATGCCGGATATGCCTTTTCGAAGGATTCCGCTGGCTGTTCCAACGGCACACGCACGAATGGGAACCAGCGTGGTTTCCCCAGTTGCAGCTGCACTCGCAGCTTTCCACAATGGCCGACAAACGAATGGCCCTTAGTAAATGGACCGTCGGTTCGTCACCGTAAATTCTCTGTGCGCCGTTTCTGCCTTCTTTTCCGTCTTTTTCAATAATAAAATAGCTTGTCCTTTGGTGGACGAAGATATCCCTAAAGGTCTGCAGACTTCTGAATTCTGCTTGAAGTTGAGAATATGGAAATATGCAGTTTCCTGGTACCGATGTTGAAATGGTGCATGTAATTCGCTTCTTAGCATTGGAAATCGACCCTTGTACCCGTAGAATGGAAGAGAGACTAGTGTGACATCGCTTAAAATTTTCATTGGACTGCGAGAAGAGCGAAGTATTGTTGCGAATCGATCGAATTGAGTCGCGCAGAAGAAATTCTTTAGTGTGACTCGCTTCTTTCGATCTCAAGATAATATAATAAGATAATGTTTTTTTATTGATAAGCAATCTTTCTGTGCTAAAACATGATATATTAATATTTTTCAGTTCATTTTAATTCTACTACGGTCCTTAGTCCAGCTACACGGTCGAAATAATGATGAGGAAGGAGAAATACGCAGATTAATGACAATTTCGTTGTACATTTTGCAAACCTATTATACATTCCTAAAGAGATAAGATTAAGATTAAGTTGTAAAAGTATGTAAAACCGTAACAGGGTTAAAACAAAACGGAACAGCGATTGAATCAAAGTCTAAGTGAAGTTATGAATTCAAGTCATATTGACAGTTCCCTGTATTAAAAAATTCTCTTCAAATATTTTTCCGATCACTGATTTACGACAGGATTTTATTTTCTCATTTACCATTCTGATATTTTCTTTCTTCCATTTTCAATATTACATATTTTGTTGATACTTTATATCTTCCGAATAGCTTCTTGCAATTTCGTCAATGGTTGCGATTAAACGTACTACAAATCGTGGGCGTACAATGAAAATTCACTAAGTCCAGAAACTACAGTAAGTTTAGGGAGAAATCAATTCCACCCAATGCAAGCAACAGTTGTGATAAAATACGAAAAATACTCAGTGATGATAAAATACGAATTTCAGTAAAAATCAACTTATTAGATTTTCATAGAAAAATAATAAAGTCTAATAATAATGAAGACTTTTTTAATCTCGCAGTTTCGTATCCGATATCTTCGACGTACTTTCTCCCAAGGTATTCTCGAACTTTCCAAATATTTTACATCACACAACCGAAAGAAATTAAAAATTTCCACAAAAGTGCAACTTTCTCGCGCGTCTCTACAATATCCGACCGTTTTCATTTTACCTTTCCAACGTATTAAACTTTTTACGTGCGCAACTTCCCTGTCCTGCAATTTTGCACCGGTGACCTTTGCAAGGGATGGAAATTTTCAACGACGCCGAAAAAAAAATCGGAATTTAGGCGTCATCTTTTTTCAACGACTTTCGTAACATCTTTTCTTTCAGGACACTTTCGCATGAAAGTCGCGAGGAGCACGATATTTGCAAACCCCAGAGGCCAGTTATCGCCCGTAAGATAAATTACACGATTACTGAGCGCGGAACAATGGAAAGTTGAAACTTCTCTTGCAACAGCAATCGCTGCACCGCTGTGAAATTCGAATTTCGAGAAATCGACCTTAATTAACTTTAGTATTTAATATAAGTGATATTATTGTTATGTCAGATAATACCTTAAAACAAGTAAACTGTATAATTTTGCAATAAAGAAAGGAACTACCTCAATAATTTTAATATATAAAAATAACGTCAAACATACCTATTAATAAATCGATCATTTCGTGTGCAACGATCTAACATAGATCAATTGAAAGGAGCGGCGCCGTGAAGACATTGATTAAAAAGATCGGGTCGAGCGAAAAATAAATAACGTAAGTGACGAAGAACAAGTGAAAGTAACTTTTCTTCCTGTTGATCTCTTTATTGCACAGCTACTTTTTGCGAGAAAAGAAATTCCATACGTTCGCCAGCGAAGCTTCGATTCTGTCGTGGAATTTACTAAAATCATTCGGAGTCAGTGATGTATTCTCGGTCTCGTGGATGTAACTGGGTCAAAAACGGACCCAACCGCAGATAAAAGTCCTTTCAGTGGTCTGGGAATTCCTTTCATCGGGCAGAATCCACTGAAACGCGTCGTATTCTCTTTTTGCCGCTTTTAAACGGGAAAATTCGTGTTCGCTGAGCGAAAGACTGTTCGAAAAGCTGTGAAAGCCTGGGAATTTCCGCGAATCTAACGGAACAGTGACCCGACTTCCTGATAATTATTAACTTTCTCGGGGAACGCTGTGGGCTTTTTTTAGTCGTCATCGTTCTAGCTGTGATGAAGTGAATTTTAATTTAACCCTAGTTAACCTAACCCTGATGTGCCCAAACCTTTTTCTTTAAATACCTTTTTAATGTCCTTTACAATATTTTACGAGGAATCATCTCAACTTTTACTGTGCTTTCTAGTAATTTTTAAGTAAGCTTTAATAAACGGTCGTGTCTATTATCCGACTGTGCAACTTTAAAAACACTAAAATACAGGCACCTGTTACATGATCCTACAACAGAGCAGTGGGCATGTTTGGTTTAAACGTAATTTTCCCTACTTTTTACTTAAACTATTTATAGAACTTACAAGCAGAGACGAAAGTTGGTCCAGTTATAATAGTTCTGGAACTAATCGACTTTCCAATTTATACAATTACATATTTCTTTTGATACATAAATCCCAAAATAAATCGGAATTGTAATTGTAGAAAAATAATCTATGAAGAGATATTAATCTGTAGAGAAGAAAAAATAATGAATTGCTGCAGACTCAAAATTGCTTGAAAAAAATGAAAATAATACTCTGGATACTGCTAAAAATAATTTAACAAAGTTATGCGCAAATTTCGTAACTTTTGATCACATAACTGCATGACCTGAAAAAAAATATTTACCTGTTCGAACAGTGAAATTCTGTCATAGATAAATAATTCACAAATTATCAAACCCACAGAATTTGATCACAGACCAATATCGGTCTATTGGCAAAAATATTGTCAACTGATCGTCAAACGTCCTGTCAATTATTAGACGGATACGCCCGAGAATTCCTGAGCGATTACAGATGCGTTTGCATAGAAGCAGTTGCACATTACCGCTGTGCACAACAATCTGACCGGCGGTGAACAAGCGGCCGCAATCAGAGATAGAAGGAACAAAGCTAAATGCGAGCGTGGATTCGCATTAGCGTATATTGAGCCGATTAAATTTCATTGCGAGCACGGGACTGCCGACAACTAGATTGATGCACAGAGGGGGAAAGTGTTTATTACTCTGAAAGTAATTCGACTAGTGGCATTACAGTAATTAATAAATTAAATAACCATATAAGTTAAGAAAAATTATTATCATACACAGTACAAGTTAAGTTATTCTTTATTCAAGCTTCAGTCAAAGTATTCTTTACTTTAGCCTTGAAAACTTTCAGAACTCCAAAAATTATTCCCTAGTTATGTAAGCCTTTTTATGTCGCTACTGAAATAATGTCCCCAAAAAGCCCAGGACAAATATCGAAGTAACACCTGACGCAATAGAACCGTACGCATTCGAATGAAAACCAATAAATATTTGCGTTTTTATTGTATAAACGGGCAACCACGAATGACCCATACAATTTCACGGCAACTTTATAAAGCGTGATAGAAAAAAAAAACTTTTTGTTCCCCTATCGAAGAACGACCGAATTGGATGAATTGGAAACGCGCCATCAATTTCGGGGAAGTGAATACAAACGTTCCGAAAGTGTGGCTCGAAAAAAAGGGGGAATACCGTCATCCAGCCGGTCACAATGCTCGGGGGAGGGACTATGTGACACATTCTGTGATACGCGATTATTAAAAATTGACGGAAAGCCAGGGACCGTTTATCCCCGGCACGGTCCGAAGCGTTTAATAGACTGATAAATAGATAATGGCGCGGCGGACCGTTCAGAAACCTCCCCGAAAATGAGCGCACGCTCGAAAATTCAATAAATACCGAGGGACATACGGTGAATGGGAATATAGCGAGAGGTGGATTCATCGGCGAAAATTCGCCGGCTAAACCCTGCCTTGAAATCGTTGCGAATAAAATATCAGGCATCAACGACAACTCGACCGAACGGAACTGAAGCTTCGATTCGTATACGTTCGAAAACATTCTATGGTGGGGAAAAATAGACACACGAAATAGGTGTTCAGGCGGCTGGAAGTATTTGAATTGGAAATGAATGAAAACGTTTGTGGAATGTAGTTTCCATGATTGTTTAATATGCAGAGTATGTCGGACAATTGGACTACGTTGAATATAGTGGCAAAATGTGACCAGTATTTTCCTGTAGAGAGACCTTTTGAAGTGCGAAATCAATGCGTTGACAAAACTTGTACGATAATAGTATAAAAATATGTATAATATTACTTTGCTGCAAAGTGAAACGCCTTCGGTATAATTGTTGATACGTAACAGACTTTACAAACTGAGCAAAGAAATAATTAAAGTGATAAACGAATTAGAATACTTCGGCGATAATTTCTAACCAACAATTTGTCGTTTACCATTTTTCTATTAAAGAGAAATTTACTATTCGATCATGGAAGTGCATTAACGGACCGTTTTAACGGCACCTTTTTATTCAGAGCAACATCGCGCACGGGGATTCGCAGTAATTTTGTTCCGTGATTTCCCAACGATTTCGTTTTTATTAGACGCAAATCGAAATCACATCGAAACCCATCGTTCGTTCCGCGGTGATTTAGCTGCGCGCTGTGTTGCACGACTGCGGGGAACGCTATTAATCGGAATATCCATGAATGCGCATACTGTATTCTCATTTATACGCAAATGCAGCCGGTGCAACGGTTGGAATCGAGTAGCCGCGGAATCGGAAACTGTTGAAATTTAGTTGCACAACGGAAACCGAGACCACGCTCAGGCTCTATCTCCGCTCGCGAGCCGTGGGCTGACAACGAGTTATCGGAAACAGAACCCTCCGTAGAATTCAATGTAAAAAAGGAAAATTAGTTAACTTAGAAATCTATTTATTGTTCAATGTTTAGACTTTCAAATTTTCATAATTTTAAAATCTTAAAATCGTGAAATTTTTTAATATTCGAATATTCGTATCTCTGAATCTTCAAATCGCCGAATTTTCATAACTTTCAATTTTTCGAGTCCTTGAATCTATGAATCTATGAATCTATGAACCTTGGAATGTTTGAATCTTTCAATTTTTCAATCTATGAATCCTTGAATCTTTCAATTTTTCAACCTTTGAATCTTTAAATCTTTAAACCTTCAAATTACAAAATTTTCATAATTTTCAATGTTCTTTTACGTGAAATATTTCATTCTAGATCTTTTAAGAGTAAAATCGCCCAAGTGTTAAACACGTGAACTCTCTATACCAGGGCCTTCCATCAATTACATCGTTGACGATGTAATCGTATCCTCCCAATAAACTTCTCCGAATGAAAAGGAAGACTCACCTCTTTCACCCTGTCCCTCCGCTCCCTGGCGATGGGGTCCTTATCCTCTCCACCGACGGTCAAAGGAAGTTTATCCGCTGGAGCGGGTGGCACTGTCTCCAGAACATCGTCCTTTCGGTGAACGGCCAAAGACGACGAACTACTAACACGCACTCGCGTATCACCACCATTCACTTCCGGTTTTTCCAGCGTCTTCTGCTGCTGGTACTCCTCATCGATCTTCGCCTGAAATGCGGAGGTTAGATCGTATCGGTGTTTTAAGAACGTTAGAAATAATTAGATTTCGATTTTATCGCTCATGCCATTCGATTCCAGATAGAACACACGTTTATTATTAGTATGCTGCGTATGTCTATACAAATTAATAATTCTGTAGTGTTATACACAAAAGTTAAAATTAATCAGAAATTTAGTGAATCAGATATGAACTAAAAAGGTGACGAAACTTCAGCAAAAGTTTGATTCCTTAATATTTTTTATGTTTGTATATGCAATGAGTACATAAATATATAACGAATGCAACTTGATGTATTGTTTTTAATTGAATTTATTCAAAACTGGAGGAAGTTGAATGCATCATTGCTTGCGTACTAGTATGATACGTACTTTTATCCGTGGAAGAAACTATGAAATGAATCTGTGAGTATGTTATATACAAAAATATAAACAGTAATTGTGTTGTACTGTACTACAGTACTTGACATTATATTATTAAATACTCATGTTATTTTTAACCTTGACGTTCATTTTCAGTATCAAATAAAAAAAAATTAAAACATTCGAACCACGAATAACATTTATTACAGACGAACCTCGATTATTTTAAAACAAACCAAAAAACACGTTTCGAACACTAACATTTCGCATCGTTATCAATTACATATCGCTCTGAAAGGAAGTGTATACTAAAAAAGTATAACAATACGCGATTTAAAAAAATCGCCAAAGCAAAATCGAATCGAGCGAATTAACGAAACTTTTATTCATACCAAATATAACAATGCATTACAATCAATACAGGTCCTTTCCATCGAAACATCATTCTTCCTGAATGATTTATCATCCGACCACTGTGTAAACAATCAAGGTTCTACTGCATCGAAATCATTAATCGTACGAAAATCTGAGAGAAAACTGGGTATCTGACTACACGAGATTTCAATCTACTAAATTACAAGCAGACAAACGAATTACACTCTCGTGTGGAATCAAAGAAGATCAATCCAACGTCAATTGGGTTTAGGATACTTGAGAGCTGGAGAGGTCAGTAAACATCGACACAATCTCTTCTGAGCATAAACGTTCCAATTTATTCAACAAAGCTGTTTCCATTCATCTCGGAACAATCCCTCACGTTTACAATACAACATTCTCGACATCACCACCGTCCCATCGTCAGATACCCATTTTCCGCTCCGATTCTCGTACAGCGGTTATTACGCGCGCTTTATACAAAATTCGCGTGATGCGTGGGTGGTCCATCGAGGTCTCTCGAACGGAGGGTTGGGGTGAAAAGGTCGGTGGAGGTCTCATTTATGAAAATCAAATTTCCCCAGCACGCTCGAGGTAGACCCCGGGACCAGCCGTATTTATCTGAATACCGTCAGCCGAATGCAATCTCGACTCGACGAAAACGCGCTTCTCTCGCTACGGCCGACCGAAGAAAGCCGTGCGATACTCTCGACTGCCTGGCCGTTGAGCCGTGATTACGTGGAAGAAAAGAGAAATGTCGCCCCCGCGACGCCTTTAATCTCATTCCTCTCGTGATTAAACGCTTTCGCGACTTATTAAGCCGTCATCGTTGCGCTAGACGTGGGAACGCCTTTCGCGGTGTTCCTTACGACTCGCGAATTCGTGATTTCTATTATTCGTTGGGAATTGTGAGAAATCCTATGTTTCATGAAAAACATTAGCAACGATTTAGAATGTCAGTCTGCTAGGATAATTGTAATTATCGGTATGGAAAATGGTGTAAATTATATCTGAGTGGGGAGACATTTCAGAGTGTTGAATATACAGTACAGGTCAAATGTATTCGAACGCCTGGATTAGGAAAACAGAAAGAACTATCTATTGATTGTACACTCGGTCGTTTCTTTCTCCTTGGTGATATTAGACACACTTGTTTTATTATATATTTCTGACAAGCAACTCACAAAAACTATTGGCCTTGTTGCCTAAATAATACGTATCATCGGATATGGATTATAAAATAATATCTAAGTCCAAACACTGTTATAAATTCCAAAAATCATATGGTCGAATAATTCTGAGCGGTACTGTATGTAAATGTGAATCACTGAACATTCTATTATTTCGTAGTAACAGGAGGGGGAATCATCGGAGCATAGAATAAACGTGATACCAGTGCAGTTCGCGGGCGTTCACTATCAGTTCGTAAATCAAACTGCAATCTCCCAATTCGTTATCGTTTATTAGCAACCTTGATGAAACGATATACATACGTATACAACGATATTCAACGAAACACATGAACTGAGCAATCTTAACGTAATCGCTTTTGTCTCGAGTACCCCAAAGTATTGATTTATTTTAAACGGAAACGGTAAAAGGAAGGAAATTGAAAAGCGACGAAAGAATTATGAAAAATCGATCTATTCATAATTAATTAAATTGTTACGAATATAAAACTGAATCTTTGAAATAGTCAATTAAAAAATGTTAATTGAACGAAATAACATGAATAAACTGACTTTTTAGTTAGTTTTAATTATTATATATGACTTTTCAATTGTTTAAAAGCACTGAAGCGTCTTGTTTAAAAAATATTCAACTGATATATGAAGAAAAATTTACCTTATTATTACAAACATAACTTGAATTGAAAATCGTAAAAATTTCTCTTACTGTTTGTTAGGATTCTCCACCTTTTAGAACAACCAATGTATTGAAAGACCATGATTTGATTTCTCATATTTCAAAATGATTTCTGCCTGGTATTCTAGAACAACTAACTATCCTACTATTAATGAGTTTTAGGTACCAGTACTTTTTTTTACAAAACTATACTTTAATCTTACATATCAATATACTCTGTTGAATTGTTTATATTATTATCTAATTTGCACTTCACATTCCTGTAATGTAAATCGACTATAAGAAACGGAAATAATAATTACGAAACTTTTATGACACCCATTGTATACACACATTAGCGCAAGTAAAGCGTCTCAACGAGGGTCGCATCGATGCGTCGTAAATTGTGCTCTGAAACTTTAGGGCGAGAGTCTATTAACGTTGATAAAACTCGTTCTCGCGGGCGACGCACTGGCTCACTGCATCAGCCTGACGAAAAATTAGATAATTCGATGCCGGTCAACGAAGTTCAAACAGTTATGTTTCACGATAAGTGAGGTAAGTAATTCATCCGGGGTCCATATGATATCCTCATTTGTCAAATGCCGGAACAATATTAAATAGCTTTGCTTACAAAATTCCGCTATAAATACGTGAAACGTAAATAAGGTTAAATAATTATTATGTGACACGTAATTAAAACGGTTCAAGGTTCCCGCGCAATTTCCAAGGCATACAATCGCGCCTAAGAAAAAAGAAACCCGGTTATGAAACATAAAACAGTTCTTGAATAATTAAGTTTTACTAAACAGACTGATTGCGGCTATAAAGCTTACCCCGATGATTGTAATAAGTAAACAGATAAAGACGGATCGAGCGTGACGCAACATTGTCATCGATAAACGTGTGTGTAAACAGACCAAATGATTCTTGCCGCATTCGGCCTGGCAGGCTATGGCCGGAACGGCAAGAATCATTCGAGCATCGTGTATACACATCTGGCTCACATGCCAACCGCGTGAACGCGATGACAGTTACGGTTACCGCGACCATAACAGAACAGAAACACGCGGGACAATCTGGCAAACGAAAAAGATTTAACGAATCCACGTACCGTGCGAACAATTCGGAGCGTTATGCGTGCACACATGTGTTCGCGATACGTCACCACCGCAGTATGTAAACAAACAGGTCGTGAAAGCGTTTAACCGTTTAAGAATCGGGACACAGTACTCACGGAAGGGAGAAAAGAGAAACCCGTACCAAAGGAACGTCAATGTCAAATTCGACGTTACGTTTCGAATGTCACGAAGGAAAGAAACGTGGGAAGATAGGACCAGACAGGAGCGGTTGCACGATGACAGGCGGCGCGATTTCGAACGGCCAGGAATTCGATAATCGAGTATCGAGAGTCGAAAGAAGCGCGACACGTCTCGCGAGACGACACACACACATACACACACACACACGGTCGCGCGGACCTGCAGCTTTTGCTTGTCCTCGAGCAGATGGACATCCTGATGATCGGCTCCCTCGTGGCCGACTGGCACCGCGTTCGGATGGGCCACGGGGCCCTTCAGGCCCACTTGCATACGAGGTGGCGCCGGTATGAGCAGCTCCGGTCCCGCTTTCTGCATGTGCTGGTACACGCGGTACACGCTGTTCACCGCCGCGCCGCCGGTCCCCGAACGGAAATCCGGCAGAAAGAAGAACGTACCGAAACACACGACACCGAACGACAAAAACACCAACAGAATCAGATACTTCTCACGCGGACGGAACGACCGTCTCGAGAACAGGGACACCGGTACACCGTTCACGAACCGCTGATACGACGGCAGAACGCTCGACGACGTTGTCATTTTCGCGATACCGTCACGCCACGCACGCACTGTCACACCTCACGTTTTTATAACAGACGAAAACCCGAGCAACCGTGCGCGTTGTTGCCCTTTTCCTAGCCGTCGCACGCCATTACGAATACGGGTGGCACGCGAGCACCACCTGCTCGACAAACTTGACACTTGGTCGCGCGGCGAGCGCCAATCAGCTGGCGCGACATATGCGCAAACTACGTGCGCCGACGACCCGCGAATCGATTAAATGCCGTTCGCTGGCATCACGATTCTCGCGTTTACGCGGCGTCGGTAAAAGGTATCCCATGAATGGTACCACCGACTAGGTATAGGATAGACCGACATATGTAGGAAGGAGTCTTGGGTTCAAGTCCCGACGGACCTATTGGTTTTTTTTCGCGTACAAAAAAGTTATTGCGTTTAATATTGTTCTTATGAATATGTATATGCATTATTATGTATATTTGAGTAAATTATTTTATTATTTCATTGTTATTACAACAGTTTAACAGTGACTACGAACGCATGTATATTTTCAAATATCGGACTAACAGTATATTTTTATTCTATAGTATTACATATAAGTGAGTAATACGTATCAAAAACGTAATCGAAACACAGATGTTTATTACACCACAAACATCGCATAAAAGATATTTCGTTATATTGACATTTGTAATAATTATGGATGTTGCGGGGAAATCAATATTATTGACATTATGGAACATATAACGAAATATTACTGTAACACTTAAAGAAGTTTTAAAGATCCATTTATATCATTGTCCTGTGAAAATGTTTATACTTCCAGCAGCATTCATATTCCAATCAAAGAATTTACAGAATAAGGAAAAGGAATCTAAAGTAATTTTTAGTAGTTCCATACATCTTTATCTCGAATAATTTTCTAAAACATTCAAAGTACTAGACATTTTTACACTTTGAATCTCATATCGATTTCTAAAATAATCCTAGTTCGATGTAATATAGAACGTGGTTTTATGAGATAGATTCGAAGTTCGCAGCCATTAGCTCGATATTGTCTTCAGTTTACAGTATTTTACCGATGACAATACCGATTGCCCAGGCCTCACCACGAGGAGGTTGCTGCGAGTGGAGGCCCAAGGCAAGTAGATGGAATCACAAGTTCTACATCTACCCACCTTTCACAATAAACCTTATAAATTACTTAAATCTTAACTATATAATACTACCGATACTAAAATCCCTCGGCGGATGACTTCTTTCTTGAGCCTAAACCTATAAAAAACTAAGTTCCCTCGTCGGTTGTCTTCGTTCTTCAGCTTAGAACTAATATTATCTTAATATTCTAATTAATACGAATTAATGCTAGTAATACGAAATAACAAATTTAACGCAATGTAGTCGCTAATACTCAAACGAAAGAGATAGACGGAATGGAAAAAGTTCCATCGATCATTTCGTTTACGCACCTAATATACCAAGCCAAAAATTAATTCTACGATGAACCACGTTAAACTACAGTATGAACAAGTATCGCGATGAAAGTGTTGTCGCCAGAACCTGGTTTAAGAAAATAGGAAAGACGGGCGCAACCTCGCAAACCCGAATCCATCTCTCACTTTCCAGGCCCTTTGGGCTGGTCACCTACGTACCAGACCCGAGCACAGGTCATGACCAAGTATGGTAGTGCAAGCGAGATCCCCTGTAAAACAGAGTCCTTTTACGGAGCAGACTCCCGTCTACTCCGTAGGCGGGTACGTTGTACCCAGGCGCGCACGAGCCTTTACTCCAAATCCTACTTACCAGGCAAAGACTAAACACGTCCGATATCTGGCTTCTCAATAGAAACCAGAGGGATCGGCAAACAGTCTTAGTGCACAGGCCCACTGCCCGTACCATAGGTACAGACCCACTGCCCATACCCCAAGTCTGTGTAGAGAAATCAACGAGCAAAATGAATTAATAATAACTTGGTATGCACAATGGCTGATCACAATTTAAGTCTATTAATAGATAGACTAAAATTAATAATAAACGATGTGATGATGAATATGAATATAACAATGAATATCGAATTATGATTTAAGTTTAACTTACAGTAACTTAACGCAGTGGTAGACGCACGCTTTGAAGATGTAGACGTTGATCGATGTCTTCTTTCGATGGAATAACTGTTTGGAAAAATATTTTTCATTATACAATACACATAGAATACATAATATGCACAGTAAATAAATCACAGTAAATGAATCACAGTACATAAGAAGATAAATATCGAAGCCAATGGTTCTCGAACATCTGTAACATACAAGGGATTAGTAACAAGAGAGGGGACACAACAATATGCACAATAAATAAATTAATAATATGCACAGTAAATAAATCACAGTATAGAAATCACAGTAAATAAATCACAGTAAATGAATCACAGTACATAAGAAGATAAATATCGAAGCCAATAGTTCTCGAACATCTGTAACATACAAGGGATTAGTAACAAGAGAGGGGACAACAATATGCACAGTAAATAAATTGATGGTTGTCGAATGCCTGCAACAAACAATGGGTTAGTAACAAGAGAAAGGACGAGTATGAGACGCGCGCCCACCCTCCGCGACGGTTCACGAGAAAGTGAGGAAGCTAACGCCGTTGTGTATTGGGCGTACGCAGGTTTGTTCGTGTTGAATTGTTTTTGCCGACTTGAACGACCTTCCTCCTTGAACGACCCAAACACCGAATGGTACGGCTTGGTACGGCGTACACGGCTAGGTCAATAAACTGTGTGACGCAACGTCACTAGCACGTTGGACCGACTGAGAGCACCGATACCGCGGCACGCTCTACCGTACTCTCTCGCTCGCACACCTCCCCCCATAGACTGCCGAAATTCTTCGGCACGCGTCAACACCGACGAAGAGCACCGATACCGCGACTCACTCTACCGCTCTCGCTTACACGCCGTGGCGTCACTCGATTCCCGGAATCCCGTAGCTACGAGATGGCTCATTACGGTAAAGCATTCCCGCAAGGGAAATTGTAAGCCATCGGCCAAAAGGTAGATTTGATAAACTATTTATGAAACTACGTCTATTCTGAATTTATCTGTTAGAAATATACAAATGTAAGGCAAGATAGAAAAACGAATAAAACAAGATCACGTAAAAAGTAACATTAATAAAATGTCCATTAACCATGTATTTAGAATAAATTGTCTTTTAGTTAAGTGAAAAAATATATACTTTTCCGTTTCATGTTTCATGACTGTCATATATGTCAAATCATATAGATACACGCAATATGAATGTAATATACATATAACACTGCATTTGTGCTAAGAATACTCAGAATTCATGCTTTATCGGTAACGTCGGGTATTGACAATAAAATGGTAAGGGGGCTTCTGACGCCCTCGAATAATAAGACAGAAAATTACATTGCATGTTTTGTCTATTTTTATGTCTCGTCTGTGATGGTACTGCCGCGTGCAACGGGCAAATAACGAGTGTTTTATACAGAATAGATTCGATCGATAATGGAAATTCCGGATATTATAATTTCCCACGTTACTGATATGTAGCATAAGTAGAGTACAAAATTCTATTTCTTTATATATTTGCTTTCTATCAGATTAAACGTTTTAGATAGCTACAGAGAAAAGTTCTATATTTATTTTGGAAAGTAAATATTTGTCATGTAGTCTGTGACATGAAGAAATTAATTACTGAAAAGATAAGATAGCGCCTCTGTATGATAACGTCTGTGGTTTAAAGGGAAAGAACTGAATCGCGAACTGTTATAGATACTGTAAGCATATATACAATACTAATTTAACAAGATTTGAAGAAGGTACCGAAATAAACGTCGAGAATTTATTCCTACTGTGCCTCGGTGATATCAATGAGTGTAAAAAGACTATCGGGCATGTCATTATTGTACTGAAGACGGAAGTAGATTAAGTTGTCGAGACATTTTTAGTCAGACACATATCAACTGTACAATTAACTAAATTATTACTATGCTCTTTAACGGTAATTATATAAATTAGGAATATTACTGCAAACATATATTGTAACACGAATTCCTAAATACTGAAATTAAATAAATATTGTATAATAACTGTAAGGTTGTAAGATTTTAAGCCACTAATGTAAATGCAAATATGAATGTAAATATAAATGTAAGTGTCAACGAAACAGGTATTCAAGATGGAATTTGTTTAAATAATTAATCAATAACTGCTTTTAAAATAATAATTAATTATTCTCCACTAGTCCACAATTCAGATCAAGGTAAAAGGGAAACCTGCAATATGTTCGAATATCTATTTTATCATATTATCATTAAACTTCATACTTTATGCGTTTATAATACATACCGTTGTGTGAACTACTAAAAAATAAAACTATCAACAAATATTTAAAAATCCCTTTTTACCGTCATGAAATCATTCAAAGAAAAAATAAATTAATCATAAATAAGTGATAAATAAATGATCCATACTATAGTTATCAGTTATTTCAATATTTTCTATTTTCTAAAGTCTCATTGCATTCTATAAACCAATTTATTCATCGAACAACACCAGCAAATCAACTGCTTTTATATCTCTTTACACTAGTCGCAACTAATAATTACAGAATGATTCCGTGAATCATGCAATCATTGTATCATCTTTCCCATTTTCTTCAAACTCCACGTCAGTATAACAAAAATACCCGCAAAAAGCCTCGATGAACAATTATCAACAGATGTTCAAAATTACTATACCCGCTGGAAGATTACGGTCTTCGTGCATAAAATATACCGAGCTAATAACAAGATCCCGCAAACTATAAATTTGCTCGTTATACGTGTTATCCGGTTGTCCGTAGCGTGACGTCCGAGAAATCAATTACTTCTTGCGTATCCCACTCCACCTGATTCATTTCACAAAACATTGTTCATAAATTAACCTTGCGTAGCGATTGGCTTCGACGAATTTGAAAAAGAACGGGACGCGGGACGCGGTTCGCTGGAAAAAGACGGCTGCCATTGCGCGACTTTTGGATAGCTCATTGCCGGGTGGCTACATCAGTCCAGGATTTCACTCCTTCGGCAAGCATGCAGCTCCTGTGGTTAATGTAAGTGATCGCAGGCAGCTAACAATAAATCCGTGATCGACGTACAGTGACACTTGAACGCGATCTAACACATTATTCCACTATTACCGATATCTCTGCTTCAATTCATACATAAACTGTATAGAAGCATTCGTGACAATAATTACCATCGTTAAAAATAAAAATTACCATCGATAACGCGATTGTTAGACGACCATATTACCATATTCTTTGTGATCGTTCAGTTGATAAATATTCTTTTGATACTGTTATCGATATTTCTCTGATAAAAATAAAGTGCATTTCCTGGGTACAATTTTTATTTTACTATTTCAATAGAGATCTCTGATATAATACATAGATGTGTGATTATCGAGGATGAGTGTACAATGTGGTGTTAAAGTGACAGTCACAACACGAGACGTGACGACGCGATGGAACGTATTTTTCTGAACTCTGTTCACTCTACTCCACTTCGCTTATTCAACAACGCGGAAGGAATTATTCATGAATCTGACGGATGTTTTTTTTTTTCTCTGCTTCTTCTCCTTCAGATGTCACTTGACAGCCGTAACAGCGATGCCAGCATCATTATCGATTGCCAGAATCTGGAGGATAACGGACACGATGAACGACACGGCCACGCTACCGGGACACGACTACCACGGGAATCGGGAGCAAAGAGTTTGCGAGACGGCGTACTGCAACGAGATCGGTTTGTTTCGCGATCGCTGTGACGTAACATTTTACATAAGTTGGGATTTTCTTGTAAATGACCGCTAGATTATATAAGTGACCGCACGTGTGATTCCCGCGGATACCATATCGGTCATGATAAAAGAATAAAATCGGGAACGTTTCGTTTCTGGACGGTGAATTATATACGTCGCGTGGGAACGCGTACGAAAATGAAAAATCATCGTTGAGCGCGTACGAGATATCGTTTCGTGATATCGACGCTTGTTTCCGGGGATAATAAGTCATATGCGAAAGAGGCATGTTAGAAAAGAACTTGAAATATTTGAATGACTGATTGAGTTCATGCAAGTACAGTCGGTAGAGCATGATTAAGATTTATTACTCTTAGGAATATTTGATTAATGGATTCTGTAGGTTTCCATAATTTTACTGCAATGAGATTCAAGTAGCTGGCATTACGTTTTTGTGTCTATTTCGTTGGAATTTGTAGAAGAATGCGGAAGAATATTTGAATTCGGTAATAAATAAATATCGCTGTTCCTGAAAAACCGTGAGACAACTGCGAAAAAAGTAACTATTCAGGAGATAAAAGAAAAACAATTTTATTTAGTCATACTTGGAATTAAATAGTGAAAAAATGTTGGGAATAAAGCGATTGTTAGCGTATTTTGGTCACTTTTATTTTACTTACTCATTACTCACTTTAACAGCGACGCGTGTTACGCAAAATGTTTCAATTTTTTACTTGTACTACTGTTCTTCCGGACCGAAGATATTTAGTGACACAGTCAGTGTAACATGGATAAAAAAGGAATGGTCCATGTTGTAATTAAATTGAGATCTAAATGTTTCAGGTACAGAAACTTTGAATGTTAATTGTTTTTAAATAATATGTAAAGATTTTGATTTGTAAAAATTCAATTTTATATAGATTTTACACCATACATACCTGTGTAACATTACATTTCTATAACTTTAGTTGTCTGATCTAGACGGTCACGTTCTACTTAAGCGCCCTTGTAGGTGCGAGGAATAAGATTTGCTTAACCAAGGAATGCTTTAACTGCTTTATACAAATTTTTTACGAAGTATTTGTCGTTAGTTGATTAATTTCTTTTTCTTCTGTAAACGCAAAGGTTCCTTAGATACTTAGTCGATTAGATAGGCACTGTTTATAGTTACAAGATTATAGACCACTTAAAATTTATCTCAAACTGTCGAAATTGTAGAAAATTGTGGAACTACAGACACTGTAGAAATCAAACATAATGAAATTAATTTTCTCAGACTTTTGAGTCTCTTAAATATTAGAACAGAAAATGATTGATTGGTAGTTGTAATGGGTTACTGTTTCTATTAATTTCTTTACGTTTACAACAGCTACAAAAATTCTCAGAAGCATGGACCCCACAGCAGATCCATGTGAAAATTTTTATCAATACGCTTGCGGGTCATGGGCAAAGCACAATCCTATACCGGACAATGAAGTTGAATGGTCCGAAGACCAGGTCATCATGGAGAAGACCTACAAAAACATTAAAGGCAAGAAAACGATCCTTGTACCGATTTAAATATCCGATTTGCGTTTTAGTTTTTTAAAGATCTTTTTAGTCGCAACCTTCAGTTTCTACTGTCATTTTTCTTCTACTTTTTAATGCCTTTTCAGTGATCTGAAAGGAACTTGTTAAAAAAAATACTGGTTTCTAGAACTACGTTTCGTTTCAGAGCCTTAGAAGTTAATGTAAAAACAGAAACCGCGTTTCTTTGATAAAGTTCATTGTAAAATGCAGCAGAAAAATTTTTCTATTCACCAGATTCCCTTGCAATGCGTACATTCACTTGTTTCTCTATCTCCTCTTTCAAGATGTCCTCGAGGAACAAGATAAACCTACTGATATCCTGCCGATTAAGATGGCAAGGAAGCTTTATCGTTCCTGCATGAACATAGGTAGGGTAAACACGTTTCATAAACAAATTTACTAATGAAAAATATGTTTCATTGTTTTACGGTAGAGCGGTACTCATTACAACTGTTCTATCAAAAGTAGGGTAATGAATCATAGAAAATGTGTTAATTTGGGGTATATCTATGTATTTATATTTTATAAACTATTTAGTATGCTGTAAATAGTTTTATGAATATATAGCTCAAAAAGCTTGGAGTTTAATTTATATAAAAATATTGTTTTATAATAGAGGCAATCGAAAAGAGAGGCATCAAGCCGATACAACAAATCCTGGACTCTACAGGTGGGTGGCCAATGGCTATGCCAGTCAGGGAATGGGATCCACATAAGTTTCCATGGCAAAAGATCGATAAGAATTACGTGACAGTAATTGGCAACAGCGCATTCTACAACATCGAATATGAAGTTGATCAGAACAATACGCAGCGCTATGTGCTTACAGTAAGCTACTACTTCCGTGAACTGGAATATTTTCTACGGTATTCAAACCTGGCTATGAATTACGATCGAAATAAAAAAAAATAAACTAAAATCCAACAAGTCGTTAAGAATCATTAGTAGTTGATGTGACTATATATACATTTATATAAAAAAATAATGTCCCAAATACATTATCATCTCTACTATAAAGTACATTATTTCATAATATTATATATTATATTCTATATTCGTTTCAAAATAATTCAAATACCTACTCTATTTTAACAATATTCCTCATTTGTTCCCCTTGCGAAGTTTGAAATGATATTCTGAATCTAAAACGTATTACCACCATATTGGAACTACATGTTGTGAATTATATACTATAATACTAATAATACTGTACTTATTTGTGCACCTAGTAATTCTACATTTAATTCAGCAGTACAAAATAACTTGGGACCTAATAATTTGCTTTATTGAATAGATTAGTGTATTTAATTTATATGTTCATTAATATACTGATATAACGTTGTAATTACAAATGTAAAAAGATATCGAAAGATTATGTGTCATTGCAGGTAGATCAAGACACAGAGTACCCTCTAGCAAGTAAGAGGGACCTGGGTAAAATATTCAACGATGATGACACTTACGCGCTAGGCATCTACCGCATAATACAAGCTTTCGCAAAGGAGAAAGGGTACACTTTGAACAGACGTCAATTAATCGATGACGTAGCAAAACTGGTTGCATTTGAGATTGAACTACTCACTGTAATAATTCTTTTTTTTTCTGTTCCAATTGTACGAAGTGATCCAACACATTGTACAGAAATATATTTATAGATCATTGAGACGGACAAGGAAACGCACGCCTCCAGCACGAACTACAGAAGACTGACGATCGAGGGTCTGCAAAAATGGTACAACAGTTCTGGTGTTACATCTTCCACGGCAAAAGTAAATTCACTATTCCAATCATTAAAATTATTTCCTATCTTATTTCACGTGTTTTGTAGTGAATGATAAAAGTATTCGAGCACCTGATTCCTGAAGTTGATTGTATCCAAATATTGGATTGGCCAAAAAGTAATAAATTTTATGCAGTGCACATTTCGGTGTCTCAATGTGAAAGAATTTTAACTAATTAAATATATACATATTCTAAAAGCTGATAGTTAAACGCCTTATTTGAAAGGAAGTATCATCACGATTGAGTTAAATTTTATTAAATTAACCTTGTCTTGAAAATGAATGACGACAAGATGTACTTTCGAACAATTACACTTTTTTACTTCCGAAAAGGGTAAACGCAGCACAAGAAACAAAAAAGATTTCCTTCTTTTATTTTATCTGATTTAATCTAATCGTAATGACTTGCTTTTTGAAATAACGCAGTGATGTGTCCGCTTTTAAAAATGCATATGTTCTATTAATTAGGTTCAGTGCTTTGTACTAAATTCAAACAATCATCATCTACTACAGAAATCCGACATTATTTTCTGGTCGACCCAATAGTACAACATATTGAAATTAAAATAAAAATATGTAGCAGTAAATGTATACATAAATGAAACATAAAATAAATCTTGCCGAAATACATACTTAATAGGCTTTAATTCGAATACTTTCAGCATTCACAATGCATGATTTCACGTAAAGAAACTGTAGACGTCAGCCATTTTGCCTGCATCATTCTTCCTCGACTCAATTTTCAAATTAGTACAGATACGGCCAAACCGTAATTAACGGGTATAAGAGCTAACGAACGGCAGATAATTAATGCAATCATCGATGATGGTAAATTATATGTTCGACTATACGGATGCTTGCAGATGAACTTCTTGGAAATGATGCAATATGCGTTCAAGCTGGCAAACATTAGCGTGAACGCGTCCGAACCGATTGTACTGTACAACCCAGTATTCCTTCATAAGCTGGCGAGGTTGCTTGGAAACACACCGCGTCGCGTACTTGGTAATGCAGTAATTATACAAATTTTACGAGCAACGGTAATTTACGTATACATACATTCTCTCTATTTCTCCGGTCGCGTACGAATGATTACGTGACAACTATTATCAGGTTGAAATTACCCCTCGAATACGAGTTGAGGTGGATCTTTCTTCATGGAATTTTTCCTTTTTCAGTAAATTACGTCCAGTGGAACATGGTCAACAAATTTCTGTACTTTACCACGCAAGATATGAGGGACATCATGTTCAATATGTCCTATTCGTCGTATAATATCTCCAACTACATGCCACGGTACTATACATATTATAATAGTAACAGTTGGTGACTAAAAAATAATTGAATAGTATTAGAAATTGATGTTTTAGTGAATGTGGTTGTTTTTATGGAAAGTAAGTTATAAAGAATTTTGAGAGTTAGGTTGGTGAATCGAGAAGTAATAAATTTATGGAAGTTTTTTTATAAAGAAACAACCTATTGAGCCGACAGACCAAAGTGACTAACTCCACTTTCTGAATTTTTCAAATTTTACTGCCGAAACATTTGATTCGCACTTAGTTTTATTAAGTTTGTCTACTTACTATTCTGTTGGAGTTAATCACTTTAGTAAATGATCGGCTGAATTGTGTTAATCAATGGTTCGGATGAATTTTGGCACAGAAAGGGTGAAAATAGTCTTCAAAGTTAAAGTTGGAACACAAATCTTATCGAATATTCCGGAAACTACTAATGCTATACAATAACTTTAAATCGCCAACTTGTTATCAGTGAAAAAAAAATTCGATACATGCAATCTTAAAAAAAATTGTTTGAAAAATAAGTTGAGATAATTTACACTTTTACTTCCATAAAATAACTAATCTCAGGAACATGTTTTTACCTTCTGAACAGAATTAATTAGAATTAAAACTGATGTTGCATTTTTTTAAACATGTTTGATTCTACCTACCAAATACCCCACGAAAGCATCGTATTTATTTTCAGATGGGAGGTTTGCCTGCTCAATATGAGAATGAAAGACGCAGTATCGTACATGTTTGTCAAAAAGTACATCACAGACGATGTTATTAATGAGGTACGGTTTCTTTCATTGCAATTTGAAAAATAACGTGGCGAAATACGAATCGCAATGTTCATTCGAAAATTACGTTTTCTTCAAGACAAAGGAAATGGTTGAAAGAATAAGAGAAGAGTTGAGAAACCGTATAATGCGGGCTCAATGGCTGTCAGACACAGTGAAAAAATCGTTGGCACACAAATTGGATACAGTTGAAACGCAGATTGGATATCCAGAGTGGTACAAGGACGATCAAGCTATGATTCAGTTCTATGAAGGGGTATCAAATGTTAATCAAGTAACAAAAGATGAGAATGTAAATGTAAATAACTCTTAAAATTTTTTGTACAAACTTTTACAGCTACAAATCGGTTCGAACTATTTCCAAAACCTTTTAAATTGCGCCGAGATTGATTTAATTAGAAGCCTAAAAGAATTTAGGGGCATTGTTGCCAGAAACCAGTGAGTTGTTTAAGACTCTGTAATAATTTATTACACTTGAAATGTTTTTTATGAAGACAGTATTTTTTCAGATGGCTAGATTATCCTATTACCGTCAATGCATTCTACACTCAAACGGTTAACGCTATTCGTAAGTGTTTTAGAGAATTTATTAAATTTCTTTGATAGGAAATTAATCTCTAAATTAATCAAATCTAAAACTGACTATTAATTACCTTTTGTCGATATTTTCAGTTATACCAGCAGCTGAACTACAAGATCCTTATTTCACGCCACTTTTACCGAAGTAAGTTCTATTACACCATCATGAAACATTAATTCCAAGTTTTATTAACGATTTATTCATGTATGTATATTCCACCAGCGCCATTAATTATGCAGCCACTGGGTTTGTAATCGGACACGAACTGTCTCACAGCTTTGATAACGAAGGTGCAATTACATTACCTGTGTTTTGAACTAGAAACTTCAAATAATGTGTAGTATATATGTTTTCTTATCCTTCTTGAATTATTTATATCATTTAGGAATACGATTTGATACGGATGGGTACAAGTCCGATTGGATTTCTTCGGATGCAATGCAAAAATACGAGGAACGAGCAACCTGTTTCGTTAAACAGTTCGGTAATTACACGCTCGACGTTTTAGACGAACATGGAAAAAAAATTAAGGTAAACTTGTTCGTTTTATTTAAAACATTTGAAAGAATTGTTAACGACACAAAAGTTTCAATCGTTCTTATCGAAAATTCAGATTTATATGGCTTTGAAAAATTAATTGTATCAGTATTTACGAAATACTGTTCAGTAAGTTCGATGTTTACAGTGTAAAAGATATTGTAACGTGTATAACAAAATTCAAGTATGTTCAGTTGGATGGCAAACTGACGGAGGACGAAAACTTGGCAGACTCGGTTGGCGTGCAAGTAGCTTTCTCAGCTTACAAAAAACTTGCGCAGCAGAAGCCTGACACGAAGCTGTCCGGTTTAGAAAATCTCACCAGCGACCAACTATTCTTTTTAGAATTCGCGAATGTAAGTCCTGTCACACTTCAACAAAATTCATGTTATTCATAATTGAGTTTCTTCAGTGAAGGAACTTGATAACTAAATGTAGATGTTGGATAAACCAATAATTAACCCACTATTTTCTTCCGAATTTAATATTTGTTTTTAAGGATATTGTAAATTTCTTTTATCTTATCAATATTACTTACACTTTCCCAATAATCTGCGCTATTTTTATCACTTGTAATTATGAAGACGTTTGTGTCCCGAAAACATACTTTAAAACTTATTGATGTTTTTAGTTATCGGGATTTAGTATTTATAAAATCCGAAATAACGTTTCTTTTATTTCCTATGATTTTTATTTAAGGCTTCATGACTTAGAGAACCTTCGATTTATTTGTAGTCACAGTAGTTCAGCGTTAATTATATATTTGTTAATGATTATACGGTATCTATAGGTTTCCCAAATAATTACTATAATTCGATTCCACAGTCATGGTGCTCATCGGTGAGACCAGAATACGAGGTGGACGTGGTAAACAGCGACGAACACAGTCCCCCCAAATATCGCATTATAGGTTCACTCTCAAACATGGCTGCCTTTGCTCAAACATTCCAATGTCCTCGACGTAGTTCAATGAATCCAGAACACAAATGCAACTTATGGAATTAATTGTATATCATAAACAAACGTGGTACTTAACTTTGTACAAATTTTCTACCGAAATTGGTTACAGCAAGTTTCCTTTTGTACAGATATTTTCATTGAATATTTGAAAATCCTGTTTTTAGTTTGGATTACTACAGTTTAATTAAATTCAATTTGATTTGATTAAATTAGATCTAATTAAACTGAAGGAACAAGTTAAATTAATATTATTTTCTAAGTCTAAACAATATTTAGGTCTATTTCAACTGAATATGTACAGTATTGTAAATTGTATAGTTCCATATAATTATATAAATAAAGAAAAGAAAACTACAACAATAAAATAATTAAAGTTGCGCCACATGTTCAGTAATTAATGCGTTATATTGTACATATTAATAGCATTTAAGATAATTGTAATAATATTTATACAAAGACTATTATAAATTGTATATTTCCTTATGAATATTTAAATAAGAGCAACACATCAGTTGTCCACTAATTCCATCACTACCTTCAATCCAATATTTTCATCTAAAACGAATTGAAATAACATTTTCGGAAATAGCCTGACGTTATATTAATTTTGTTCAATTGTACATAAAATATTTAAATTCGATTTACTTGATATATTTATTACATAAGAGAATAACAGTGATTAATTCTTTATAATTGTGCATAAAATATTTTAGTTACGTATACCTGCGATTAGATCAACGGGCACTGACCCTCATAAAACAGAAAAACAGACGCACAAGGACTATAATGTAAGACTCTAAAGTCGAGTCAGCATATTTTTAAGAAAGATGAAATACAGATGAAAGCTTTTAGATGGATTCTCCACTCATTGAACCAATAGTAATAAGCCAGGGATGAAATAATTCACGTTAGTACGCAAGTATTTTGACAGCTCTTTATTGAATGTCATACGGAAGGAAATCAAGTATTTTTAAAACAAAATACTTATACAAAACGTATAAAACTGTGGATTTGTACATCTATCTTGCACGCAGTCGATCGCACGATGCAACGTAACCGTTTAAGTACCTACGCAATATATTTATACATGTATATCTATATAAACATCAACGCCTATAAACATAAAATAAAAAAAAAAAATCTTCACGCTTTCATCAGAGATCATATTCCCTCCACGCTTCCTCTACGTTTACGCTTTTTCTTCGTACGACTAACTATCTTCGGACCGGGTCTCGATACGGCATCTACAATTTAACGATAAGAACTCTATGTGTAGCATGGCTAGTATCACAATTCTGACAATCTGTCTCTCTCGAAGTACAATGCGGCGTCGAACGTGTTTGCGTAAAACCGAAACGTTAGTTGTCTAAATCTAAAACTTTTAACGTTGTCTACGTATACTTCCTACAAAACGAAACACTTTATACAAAGAAACTTAATCCATAATCTAACATAATATGTACAACAGAAGAGAAGCGATTGCTAGACAATATAAAAAAAAACAATCATATCTGTCCGACACAGACACAATAAATCAACGATCGCTCTATAAAAGTGAGTATATTCTCTTTCTACACGATTTACTATAAGTTACAAGCGATCCTAAATACATGGTCAATAATACACGTTTAGAATTAATAGCTGCACGACGAAGGTCTTCGATAATATCTACGCTCAACTTAATAAACCTAACTTTGTACAAAGCAAGAGGGAGCCTTCGCTATCTCCAATCACAAGTTCCCATAGCTGTTTTAATAAAACAAACCAAGTTCCTGCAATATTGCCAAAATGAATCCCAATGAGATTTTTCATAAAAACATTAAAAAAAAACATTCTCTCTGTCGTTCCGGTACAAAGGTGCGATAGTCTCTACAAAAGTGCTTCCATTCGTCGATTAAAAAGTTCAGTTCTTGGGTCGAAAACGGGACATATAAAAGTCACAGTCCGAGCAGTAGATCGCTGGCTCGGTCACTTGCTTCTTCCGGCAAAGATGGCAGGGTGCGGTTCGAGCTGTGGTCGAAACCGCGGGTTTCTGCAAGGAAGACGTGGATTGGGGAGCGACGGTAGCGCTACCCTTCGCGGTGGACACAAAGTGCATCTGTTTGCTCTGTTTGGACACAGGCGGATGCTGATACGTCGGATACTTCATGTTCGATTGTATCTGACCGTTTTGCAGGGGATTCGGATAGGTCTGATTCGGCGCCAGGATATTCTGTTGATCAGCTTTCTGCGGAGGTCTCTGATAGTTCTCGTGTCTCTGCTGATAGTTTTGCGCAGCTTGCTGCTGTTGATAAGAAGCGGGTGGATTCGGTGGCGGCTGATACTGGGGCAACGGTTGGTTCACTCGGTTCTGTTGGGGGGTCGTTTGATAGGGGTAGCCCTGATAGGAACTGTGGGTGTATTGATTCTGATAAGGGCTCGGCGACTGGGTCGGCGGATACGCGAATTGCTGCTGAGAATGCTGGACCGTTATAGGGCTGGCGTTGTGGTTACCGATCCTCTGATTGCTGTTGGGCTGTTGCTGTTGGGACATTTGCTTGTTCACCTGATTGTGCTGTTGCTCTAACTGGTAGTACGTTTGATAGCTGTTCTTTTGGCACATGGGCTTTTGTTGCTGGACATTGTTTTGAACGTATTGACCGTGCATTTGGCTGGGATAAGGGCTGGCTGGTTTCTGCGTCTGGGAGATTGGTATACCTTGATTCCGTGGGTGTGATGTCTGAGTTTGGGGATACGTTGTTTGAGGTTGTATATAAGGCATGTATCCGTTCTGGGAATATCTTATCTGCTGCTGCAGCTGTGGTGAGTACGAAGTAGGTGGTTTGGAGGCATTTGGAAGACCCGAGTACGTTTCCCTGACAACGTCTTGGCCCTCATTGGCGTACGATCCACTGAGTTTCTTGTCCGACAACGAGCCAACAGACTCGTTCGAATTTTGTCTTCCAAAGGTGGGTTTTATCGTGTCCGGAATGGGCACTGGGTTCACGCTTCTCAGTTGATCTTGATAAGGAGTCGCAGGAACGCTATCAGCTTCGCTCTTCAATGGAAGTGTCTGTTGTTGGAATTTCATGATGCTGCCGTTTTCGCGGTTCAGTTCTGCCTCCTGCAGACTCCTGATTTCTCGCAAAACTTGGGCAGTCTCTGGCTTATTCATCGCCGATCGAAGTACCCTTTCTAGGATAGGGTTCGGTATGTAAGAGTCTTTTTCGTCATCCTCCGCGGTTGCCACGAGAACAACTTGGTCACAGAACGACACGCTTTTCTTTTTGCCTATTCTTCGTTTCACCTTCCGGGGAGCAATGTCGTCTTCGTTTGGCAGAATTGTCGTGTTCTGAATAGTATTCTGCATAGCAACTTCGCTGATGTCGTCTTCGGGATAATCAACTGGCAGACCGTTCTCATGGGGTAGCGTTAGGGACATCGACATAAGCGCAGCGTTTAGACCACTCGGTTGCGTATTCATGGGATTGCTAGGTGCTGCGGTAGAGATGAACGTGTTTTGGCTCGAACTCGATTCAAAGCTAGAATTCAAGATCGATTGACTCGACGGAGTCTCAGGTTTTGAGAAAGCCGCCAGATTTTCTGTCGACAGTTGCAGTGGTCTTGACTCTTCCACCTGTTGACCGTCTTGGGGAACATCCATCAATGGCGAAGGCGATGCGCAGTTCGTGTTCTGCTTCCCTGGAAGCTTCTGTTCTGATTCCGTTTTCGGAACCGGTTGCAGTTTAATCTGTTCGAACCTGGCTGCCATATCTTTCACGGAAGAAACAACTCGAGGACAATCCGGAACATCACGACCAGCATCACCGTAAGGTTGCCCCAAACTGTTCATCATCAGATCACTGGTCCTCCTTGCAACCGTCGGACCTGTCGTCGTCGGAGCAGGTGCCCTGACTTTCGGGATATCCTGATCCAAAGGATTCTGCTTCTTCATCCGTCTTTCAGCTTGCTTGGCTTGTAACTCACGAAGCCAAGTTTCGCTGGAAGATTTCTCCTCTTCTTCTTGTTCATCCGGCATTCTGTCTTCCCTAGCTTTGGAAGCTAATATCTGATCCCGCTTGATTTGCAACTGCGTCAACAAAGTGCTGATTTGTTGGTTGTCCAACTGTTGCTGACGCTGTTGCATTAAAATTGTCGTCTGTTGTTGCTGATATTGTTGTTGTTGATATTGCTGTTGTTGATACTGTTGCTGCTGGTACTGCTGTTGCTGATACTGCTGTTGTTGATACTGGTGCTGCTGATACTGCTGCTGTTGGTACTGTTGCTGCTGGTACTGTTGTTGCTGGTACTGCTGCTGGGTTTCTTGGCTATGATTTGGACTGTCCTCGATCGGTGGTGGCGGCGGAGGAAAGTCTTCACTGGCCTGTCTCGAATGGGACACAGAGTGAATCGAAGGATACGGCGGAGGAGGGAAGTCTTCGCTAGGCTGTCTCGAGTGGGATACATTTCCATTTTCAGGATACGGGGGCAACATATCTCCTTGACTCGGCTGCTTCACAGGACTCTGCTCGTTGTGCACATCAGCCCTGGTTACCACGAACGTAGGTTCATACAAGATTCCATTAGCGTACTGCACCACGTCATCCTGAATTCGAGGTTTGTTGTTATAACTCTGACAGGATGTGGAGACATTGGTAGTACTCTGTTCCATGCTGTAGGAAGGTAAAAACGGGAGAGAGTGTGACTCTGACGAGTAGTCGGTATAGTTTGTAGTTCTGTTATTCCCGTTAGACGAATTACTCGTGTTCATGTGGTTCCAATAAGCTCCATTCTGTTCTTGCGTTGGGTTAGAGGAACACTGTCCCTCGCTTGGATACATGGACTTCTCTGACTGCTGCTCGTTGTGCACTTCACCCGAACACTTAGACTTGCTAAGCTGAGAAGTGGTCCTGAGCGGAGGAGGCGGAGGTACCTTCGCTACGTGTAACACTTTACCAGCGCTTCCGTGGAAGCTCTTCCTCATCAGACGACTTCTCTCGAGGTTTGGGTTGCTCGTGTTGCCAGGGTTACCGTTGCTGTTCCCGGTGAACTCCAAGTGACCCTCTGACAAGTAACCGCTCAGAGACTGGCACACTTCGTTGCCCTTCAAACCAACGCTGGAATCGTCCACGGACTGCTTCGGCAAGGTGTTCGAGGATCCCTCGACACTGACACTCGTTTGACCGTCCTGTCCTTCCCGCAGATCCGGCATGCTTCTGTTTTTCCTCTTGATCAATCCACCCATCAGCAGTTTCCTGCGAATCTTGTGCTGCTTCTTGCCCTGCTTCTGCTCGCCGTTAACATTGCTTGGCTGAGAATTTCGTGCGTTGTTACCAGGTGCGTCAACACTGTCTTTAGACTTTTCTACTTTCGCCCCCTTAGGGGAAGGCGAGGATCGTGACGGAGCTATAGAGAAGTCCTTCGAGACGTTCTTGTTCCTCTCTTCGCTGCGAGCTCGTTTCTTATCCTTCTTGTCATCGTCGCAACGCTTTGCGCGACTAAATAATCCTGTTCTCTGAACGGGTCTATCGTACAGCATGTACTCTTCGTCCTCTATCACGTTCACCGCTGTCGCTTTACTCCGTAGCGTCTTCTTCTTGGGAAGAGTGGCGTAGATCTCGATGCTTTTCGCAGCAGGCTTGTCCGTGACAGAGGCTGGTGTGTTCGCCAGAAGCTCACGGCTGTTCTGCCTGGAATGATTCCCCTTATCCCTTGAACTCTGTCGGGAGTGTTGGCTAGATTTACTGTTCTCTCGCGAATGTCTGCCTTCAGGCGCGCCTTCTGAAATGATAAATGTAGCCTTTTACCTCACAGTTCCTGACTAAATGGTCATATAAATAATTTTCTTTCTCAAATACCAACCTTCTTTTTCTCCATTAGCAGTCGCCTGCTCCTGCAATATTCTTCTGTGCAAGCTTCTCGTTCTCATGACACACGTATTGTGCTTCATCCTTGCAATTGTAATCGTGTGCGGATTATTGTATGGCGCGTCCATGGCGGCTCTAGCTTTGCTGCTGGCAGCGCTACACAAAGCTACTGCAGTACTGAGGTCACCAGCATCTTCGGCTGCTCGGGATTTATCCAACAACGCGTCGGTCTCTTTGCACAGACGTTCGCAATCGTCACCTGAGGCAGCTTGGTAGCCTTCCGGGATCTGAGCAAGCTACGTTAAAATATTTTGTTTTATTGTACATTCATGGTTTCTTTATTGTAGTTCTAAAAGTAGAAACATATGTTACAGGGATTTTAAGTAGCTCAAAGTCTGAGAAACTGCAAGAAGTCCATAGACTCCGTGGTTCCTTGTTCTCTAAAATTTCAAACACCCCTGACTTCGAAGATGCCAGGGCTTTAAGGACTTTAGACTTTAAAGAACCTTAGGGAAACCTCACACTTTAATATTCAACATTATAAATTCCTAGATACTAAGGTTGCAAAGATTTCCAGATTTACAGTGTCTCGAGGACTCTAAGGAATCTATAGACCTTAAGACTAAATACTAGAATTCAAGGATTCCAACGACCAAAACGCCCTGAAAACACTTAAGGTTAACGATTTCAAAAACTTTAGACGTCAAGGATCTCCCCATTGATTACGCAAATTCTAAGTTTTCAAGGTTCTAAAGGATCAAAGAGGAAGCCGCTAAAAAAAGGATCACAGAACTCTGTACGTACCTGTAGGTTATGCTTTAGACCCTGCTGGAGAGGAAGGCTATCCGTAGACGACAAAGAATACGAGTCGTATCCAGCATCGTAATGGCCACTGCTGCTACTAGAGAGCTCTCCAGACTTGCTGGTCGGGCTCTTAGGTACTCCCGAGTTCCTCTGCATTTTATTCACGATGTACAGATACGGATTGTCCATCGTCGTTGAAGAACTCGAGGACGCACTATTACGGTCACCAGACCAATTTCCAGAATCTCGTCTCCGTGGCACATTCAAATGATCCGGAATACTGATGCCGTCCTGCGGCGTCGATCCTGCGCTGAGACTACGCGTCAGCTGCATTTGTTGCTTCTTCTGTTGTTGCATTACCGTTTCCACAGCGCGACGACTGATATACTTTGCCTCCACATCACCGTCCACTGCATCGACACCCTTGATAACAAGAAGAGACGACGTTTATTAACGACATTGTTCGATCCATCATGTACATTAACATCTACTACAAATTACAATGAATCTTTATAGGTAGACTTATTTGTTTAACTATATAACAGTGTGTAGCGAATCGAAACTGTAAATATGATTTTCTGTGTTCAGAATAAATTGTCAAATGATCTGAGAATTTACTGAAAGTATTAGAATTTCTACCCGACTGTGTACTAAAAATTAAGAACCTATATAGTATCTTCTATTTTTCTTTCATCCCATTTCTGTAGATCCTCTAGTTCTTTTCATCGGTGTATTAGGTCTTCCAAAATATAAGTGAATACTACTAGACTAATGTAACTATATAAACTATAGATATCGCCGACATGATATATGATGGTTACAGACTATAACTATCTATGAAATCTTACTTGATTCCCGAAGATGTTGTTCTGAATGTCAGTGAGGTTCTGGTAATCGCTGTAAATCCTCCGTTGCGTGTAAGGATGAGGAGGGCTGTCAGGGTTCGGTGTGATGGCACGTCTAGCAGTGCTGTTGATGGACGGTTTTTCCGGACTGGGGGTGATGGATCGACGAACGTTATTCTTCGGGGGTGTCTTCAAACCGTTCCCATTCGGGAACGGCGTCACTGTTTTTGGAGCGTTCTCAGTGTTAACTGGCGTACCACCGGGCGTCGCGTACAGCAGCAGTAGAGGCTGATATCTGCCTCTTCTGCACTTCTCCACGACCTGCTCCCAACGTGGACCAATCTCCTTGACGGTCGCATCGTCGAAGTAGATCCAGACCTGCGTAGAAACAAGACTCGATCATTAATAAAGTAATAAATCATTTTTATAATAAAATTAATCCATCATTTCATAATCAAATCGATTGTCAATTGATTATACATTTAATTTATTGCATACAATGAAACAATTGTATATTGAGCTTATACATTCAATCGATTATACATTACATTCAAAGTCAAATACGTCACGTATGTTTTTTTTTATTAATTGTTGACGTGGAAATTTAAAATATCGTTCTACGTTCGAACAATAATTTTATGGTCAGTTAATGATTAGTAAATGTGGGGATACGTTAAATCTTGCAGCAAATACAATATTATTGTTTGATATATTGTAGTACACGATTAAGTTACGAAAAGTATTCTGAATTTAGATCATTGTATGGTAACACTGCAGCCATTTCAAATAAAAGAGATCAAGGATCCTTCTCTTCCTGAATTTTCAATGGGCAATATAGCCTTCTCGAATTTCATATATGTATTGTTTTATCGAGAAAATTGTTGTATTATAATAATATTACTAATGTAACAGTGTACACTTAATAATTAATGATAATAATAATTAAACTGATATCACGGTAAGTATAAATAGAATTGTATAATAACCTTGAGTTTAGTGTGAAAGAAGAAGGTGGAATAGTGTTTCCCGTAATATGTGACGACTCCTACGAGATTGTGCACGGTCGAAGCACCCCACCGGGAGTCTACCACACTGTGGAAAACGTCACTCAGCCGGAGGGACGTTCCCACGGTCGCGAAAACGTCCATGATGTGCTCCAACGATGGTCGTTCGCTGTCCCATACGACCCCGACGGAAACGATTTCCGGTCTGTTCATCAGCGTCCTGCAGATTTGGATTTTTGCTCCACAGGAACTCTGGAAATTTTCGAAAGTATCGTTCATTTCTAAAATTCTATAATCTATACATATTTATTTCGTACCATTATAAATTAATACAAATACTAATAAAATTTTATAAATCCTTGATTTCCATAGAAACGAGTGCCGATTTCGTGAAATAATAGTGGAGTACTGATTAGTACAGCTATTATTAAGTCACCCCGTAAGTAATTCGGATTTTTCCACATTTATTTTCGTGTAAATAAACAGTTCTTTGCGATTAATTAATGGATAATATATTTTCCACTACCGTGCCAATTCTTCAAAAGTTATTGACGAATTTTGTTCACTAGAAACTGTAATAAGTTTTTCGTTGTTGCAGTTGTAGACTCGAAAATTTTCTACACAATGTTATCTAAACCTCTCTGCTTAAGATATTATACACACCAAACAGATAAGTAACAATCACGTTGAATTATATTTTATTCCAAACTCAACATTCCGAGAAGCCATATAACTTATAAGATGATCTAATGTACTTCTCAAAACAATTAGAGAATCCCTAATGTATAAAATCCTAATGCTATCTAATATAATAAAACAAACAAAGCTCCACCAAATCTAAAGAGCCAAGACAAATGCTCATAGGTCTGAAAAATTGGCATCTTTTGCGTACAATAATAATACCTAGTTTCAATTCCATAACAAAATTTCCAGAAAATATTAGTGATAGTGACAAACACAGTGGCTGCAATACACGAGCACTTAATTCTTTCGAGCAGTGTATAATTCATTGTGCAATGAATTATACACTGCGTTCACTTCAATTAATTTTCATTTGGCCAATTTTAAAGTGTCCATATTTTTGAAGATATGTCCTTAAAGAGGGCAAATAGGGCTATATCCTCATTTTTTTCAAATTTTTAAATATTTCCTTAGTGCAAAAACAGGGCATTTGTTTAAAACAATTGCAAAATAAATGGTTAAAAAATATCTTTTTTCAACTGAAATAATTTTTATTTCATACTCTTATGTCTCTACTATAAGTACACCTAAAGCTCATTTCGATCAGTTTCTTAGTTCAATAGTTATGATTTATTGAAAAAAGGTTGACCCTAAACTTCAAACAGCTGTAAGATCAAGAATTTTAAAAATTTTCAAAAATCCTTCGAGATACGTTTATATATCGCTAAAGACTACAACATATCCAAATTTGAACAAAATCTGAAATGGTGCTCCAAAAAGTGTCCGATTTCGCGTGGAATGACCCTGCATCGAATTCCATCAAAGCGTTAAAGTATCGAGGGCCACCTAAATATCAGGTGGTCTTCTTTGCTAGTCATAGTCATCGTTCCACTTTAAGGAGAAAGTCCACGCTCGCGGGGGTATTATTTCCGAGAAAGGCCAAAGGAGAGTGCACCTGATCTCGCGCGTCCGGATGAATCAAGACTCGAGTCGCCGCAACCGACATTTCAGGCGGGAAGGACACTCCTGCTCGTTACACGGTCGCGAGAATTCAACGTCAAGGGAAACTTTCTGTCGCCATAAAATTGGTATTACTCACCGGACAGTCCCGGATGTCGCCCATACCACCAGCTTTTCGAAGAAGCTGACCGAAGAGATCCGGGCTGTTGCGGGAATTCGGCGGTGTCTGCCTCGCTTGCGACGTTAATGCTGACGCTGACACATAATGGACCATCTACGGAGGGAAAAGAAACAATGAAAATTATGTGGTTCTGTATAGACTGATTGAAAAGTCACTAACGGTGCTTTAAGCTAGGTGCACCGATATAGGGATGCGCAATTAATACTTGATATTAAATCAAGACTTTTTGTGGAGGGTATTATGAGAAGATATTTTATATATTTTGTAGGATATTACTAGAGGGTATTATGAGGAGGTATTATTACAGGATATTATCGAGATATTATGAGGACATATTTCAGGATAATGAGATCTGTAGAGACTCGTGAATGCTTCTATTCGGAAGATTAGGTAATTATTAGTTTATATATATTTTCACTTTTTCGATGGAATAATTAATAATACTAGTAAGGAAAGAAACTATTCAATTTTGTAATAAATAATGAGTTGCGTATTTAAGCAACTAATTCAAGACTCCATCGGATTAAGTGTCTGAACACCACTGTGTGTAAATTGATCCTTTACAGGTAAAAGTGGTCAATGCTTAACGACTCGAATGTCGCTAAACTAATTGGTCGCGAAACTAATCGTTGCAGATGAACATATTAAAAAAGAGTTTTAAAAATTTGTCAAGTGTTTTTTTTGTACTGCATAAATGAACTTTAATAGAAGAGAGAAATTTCTGGAAGTTTGCGAACGTTTTGTTTAACCTCTACAGCTCAAATTAATACTTAAAGTTCTAAAAATTTCTTATCTGTACATACTGTTCATTACTGACTAATTAACCGCATGGAATTTAAATTTCCAATTATTAAAGTTTTAGTCTTCCTCGAAACAGGATTGTGACTTTAAGGTGACATTGGACATTATGCATTTCCGAATGTCTTATAAATTTTTCCTTTCAAGTCACATTGGTCAACTGTGGAAAAAAAAAGCATTCTCATTTGCTTAATAATGGCGAAACTGGTATGTGACTTAAAAGTTACAATGGACAGTATAATGTCTTATGGGTTAACGTGTTACGATTTCCTTTCGCGGAACCGAAAGTTTCCAATTGAAACAATAAGATCTCTCGTTTTGTTATTGTGAATCGTTCGTGCACAGTCTCAATAGTAGCCACAGCTGGCGACGGTAAAAGCGATCGACCATGACCGATACGAGATTGCAACGAGTTTCGCGTTTTTACAATCGGCCGGGAACAGCCGATACGTGTACACGAAGGGAGACCAACTCCACCCACATGAACGCTGTATGCGCTCTGCACTCGATTATGCGCACAGGCGTACCGTGTACGTGCTCGAAAGGGCACTACACTTTTTCTTCTCATGTCAGGAAACATCCAATTCCCGGCGTAATTGTCTATTATATCGAAAAATCGAAGCTTCACACCCACGAATTTGTAGAAAATCTACCAGAAATTCCAGAACCGACTGAAATTGGAAGCTTGTACTTGACTGTATTGGAAGCTAGACGTGTTTTCGAATCTGGACCTAAAGTTAAAAAGAGAAATGCAAATGGAAGCTTCGTACCGTCGAATTTGTAGAAAATTTACCGTGAGTTTGAGAGTTAAATAGAAACTGATATTGAAGATTACACGAGATTAAATGTAAATTTTAGTGTTACATGTGTCTTTTAAGCTTGAACGAAAGCTAAAAAGAGGGTAAATATTCAACGACTTTGTAGTTTTAAAGCTGTTTTAAATATTCAAATTTGTAACTCAACTTAATTTTGAAATTTGATTAAACTACGACGGAAGTAGGGAGGCTGGAATTTTAATGAGTTAAATTTGGTCATTAAAGGAGAGTATCCAAAATTTAATCTCACGTTTTCTTTTGTATTTTAATTATCCAAGGAGTGTAAAACAGAATTTTATGAGGACACTCGACGAGTTCACAAAGAAAGATATTTTAACTGTAACAATGAGTGAAATAAATGCAGAAAAATCTACAAAATATTCTTTCACGAGTGATTGTGATGCTTCATAACAATAGATACGAAAACGTGCGTATAATGACTTAGGACAGCTTTTCTGAAAAACTTTTTGTAATATCTATAATTATAAAAACACGGTCACTGATTCTTCAGAACGAGAATTATAGAATTTGATGTTTCGCAAAACGAAGCACACTGGGGAAAAAACTGTAACACAGAGTGAATCGTTTGATGAACGTGGAAACGTGACGAGTGATGAAAGCCCAGATTTTCTCGACGCGTTGGGCGCGAATTTCTCGGAAAATCGTGTAATTTTATTACGGAAAAAGCGCTGATTATGAAACACTGCGGGAGAAATGTAACTTTCGTTATTGCATTCGTTCGGAGCGAAACGCTGCGGTTTTCCTTTCTTGCCCAAAGTTCCCGGGAAGTAATTTCATGCTGGTAAATAGAAATTTAATTAACCCTTTCATACGCCGCACGCTGCTCTAAGATCAGGTTTTTTGCTTAGGGCTTCTTATGGTACGTCATAATAAATCCTTCGCCCAGCTAATCGCTTCATTAAATGGTTACAATTAAAATAGACTGCGAAGGAAATTTCAATTTATACGAATGGGTGTATAATCGATATTCCAAAGGAAATAATTTTTGTTCCATAGCACGTTACAAAAGTAAAATATAGGTAAATAATATTTGAGGTGGTTGTATCTTTTCTTAGATATAGTTAGGACTTCGTGGAATCATAAGTTACCTGTAAATACGTAACTGAAAAATATACAAAAAAGTATAATCTATGACAACATTGACGGAATAAAGTTCTTTTTATAAATATAGTTATCCTTTACCCCCTATCATTGACTTTCTTGTATGTCAAAACTGAAATTAAAAACATTACGTCATTATTGCCCCTCTTATAACATTCAAATAACTACAATTTCTTCATCTGGTGTATAAACCCAATACAAATGCTCTTCAGAACTAAACTAAAATACAATGGACTGCAAGCTACTATAGACTGAATTATAATAATCTGGAAACATAAATAGTAATCGGCCCTTTATTTCCCAGCTAACTGATCGCAGACGTGTAAAAGGACTAAACACCAGACTACGTTAACCTCAGGTTGCTTCGTTCCGAAACGAAAATAAATTGAAATCGATCGGGATTATAGAGATAATTGTAGAAAGGGAATAAAACCGAAAGGATTGAATCCAGTTCGACATTTTTCCCGTGGGGTGAGCCGGCGAATAGGCGGGCTGTTCAAACATTTCCAATCGTCGAATAATCCGAAACGGGCGACGACGGGGGCGGGTGGGGGTGGCTGGAGGTTTCATTTTCCACGTCGACCCAGTCGGAAATAATCAAACGAACGGGAGAAAACTGTTTGCGCGGAAAACGATAAAAGTTATTCGGGCATGCGTCGCACGGCGATTAAATCCGACGATTCCGGTGACGCAAGGAAAACGTTTTCTTCGCTGGTTCTCCGGGTGTCGTCGGGGATAATCGAAGGGCAATGAAACGTAAAGACGATCGCGCGATGACTGAACCGATCTCGTGAAATTAACTGGAGAAAAAGCTGAGCGATAAACCCTCGAGGATTAAGAAATGAATAAAAAGAATTGCTTGAACAGTTTGTTGTCAGATTTTTACGAGCTAATGCGCTCTTAGTTTTTCTATTCTGAATGTGAAGTATTTTTGCGCTTAAATTTACCCTTAACTGCTGCTATCCGGTCCCTTTGACCATAGCGCTATTTAAAACTTACAAAACGCGGTTAATTTTATAGTTCTGGATTCATGTTCCAGTATATTTTCTCATATTCTGAATGTCAGTCGACTAGTAGACGCGCTGTTGTGTAGTCGTGCTACGTATCAAAACATCTAATTGCCGAAACGTAAGATTTGTTACTTGTGTCCTGCAAAAAAAGAAAGAAAGCATCCCATGGTTGCATAACTTACCATAAACCTGTGTGCTCACAATGCTCGAGATATATTTGCAAGGAATGCATATGAAATTTTCAGCTTTACCATTTTTGTATTTAATATGATTATGTTTACTACAATAAATGCTATAATTTTGACGATTTGTTCTATTTACTTATTTATTTCATTTTAGTAACGAAGGGTGTGGTGAAACAAATACATATTATAAGGGAAAATTTAAGAATGTAATTAGTGGTAACTACTAACATTTAATGTAATGAAAATACGATTTAAGCGTGCTGGTCAATTTGACCGGTTAGCAGTGTGAGCGTACCTATAATAGCTTAGCAGCAGTTACGGGTTAAGGACATTGAAATTGTCTTTGTATCTTAAATTATACAATTTGTGACGATCACGTTGATCAAATTGCTTACCAAAATGCGAATTTTATTTCAAAGTTAAGAAAAAGTAAGCACAGAAGGATGATAAAAGTAATGATAAGGAGAATATTTCAATAGAAATTGTGTAAAAGTGCTGACACGTAATTATTATATTAGAAGTCTGTGTACGAATATGTGAATGTCACTGTATATACCTGTGCTCTCTAGACATGTAAAAATACATTCATATCAATAGCATCATTCTTCTAGCAATTAAGAATCTTCCTGTTAAATTTTTAAAAATTACATCTTAAAAATAAATTTTACATCTTATCTACAATATTTACGGGTTGTAATGGTCATGATATTGCAAGTGTGTACGAAAAGGAGAGCAGAAAAGGAAGAAGGAAATCGAAGGAACAACAGAACAAAGAATAAGATATTAGGGCAAGAAATATCTAAAATAAGGTAGGATAAGTAGAATATAAAATATCATGATAAAAATCCTAATAATACAGAACGATAGAAATATTTGTAATAGGGTAAGAAATATCTAAAACTATTATAATGTATGGATAAAGTAATAAATATAAGAACATATACGTTCATCTACTTCCAAAAAAAGAATTAAGAGTAAAAATTTTGTATGTATCTTCTATATCTTTGCTTTGACCGTCCTCTTGTAATAAATTTTTCTTATAAAATAAAATTTGCAATATAGTATGGCTAAATGGATATATTAAATCACTGTATAGATATTTTGATCGTAATCTGTGTATCTGATTCAAAAGGTGGAGTGCTTTTCCATTCGACGATTCCCCCACGAAAATCCTCCCCCTTCCCACCGAGTCGATCGCGATCAACGAACCATCAGATCCTGATCGTTTAATCCGTTTACACAGCGGCGACTTGGCCGTTCAGTATCTTAACGTACTTAGGCTTCTTACCTAAGTCGCTTAAATCGTTTAAACCCACCAAGAGGCCAACTTCCCTTTATCCTCCCCTTCCTTTCCTATTGACTGAACCTGGCCCACCCTCGGAACGTGTCGATTTCAAGGTTTCTGCAGGCAAACAAAGGGATCCAGACGGCTCTCGATCCACAGAATACAGGTTTCTCTCGATCAGTTTTCCTGGCCCACCTGCCAGGAAAACGTGGGAAACGGAAAAACAGCGATCGTTCGTCGAAAATTCGCGTCGACAGATGCTGTTGCGGACACGGAGAAAGATCACGAGAATGTATCCCCGAGTTTATCCTTGAAGTCTGATGGAATGTTTCGCAAGAGACACGTTTCGTGTCCGCGAGCCGCAGCAATCTGCACGGTGATTTTTATTGGGTCTGTATGTGTGTGCGCGCGAGGATCATAGAAATTCAATGTCCTTAGAGTGTCTCTGCAAATGCAGATGTTTACGAAGAGTGTGTTGATGTTGAGAAGCTTCTTCTTTGGGTTAGTTTCTTGGGTAAATATCAGTAGGTTGTCGAATTTCTTTCTTTCGTTGGTGACTGATGATAAAGGTTCTTGTTGTGTAAGAGTTAGATAGCTACGATGGAAGAACTTTTACGATTGGAATATTAATTATGGGATAATTAATCCTTGCCCTACGATTTTCTTGATGACTGCAGACTCCAGGATTACATTGTTGTCAATGGTTTCACAGGAACGAAAGGAATTCTGTATTTATCGCAAATGTATTTTTACTGTAAAAGTTAAACATTAATGCCAGCAACGTGGCATTTCACTTCGACTTAAAGAAAACCGAATAATATTCTTCTTTGTTCAATCGATTTTGAAATCGTCAACACGAGCCTGACTCGATTTTATAGGGCAAGGGGTTAAAGTTTAAAGTCAATTGATATTAACGCGTTGACTGCCACAGTGAAAAAGGCCGTACGTAGCCAGACACGCTTTATTTCGTCTTTTAAAGGTCATAAATCATCAAAAATGTATGCGTTTAGTTGTTTAGCTTGTTTTAAATTATATTACGGTATTTCACCGTCGTCAATTTCATCCATCATTGTCTTCTACAATAAAAGTGTTAGTTATACTGACCTACGATTTAAACCTCTGATATGACATAGCGATAAGAGCGATTTAAAATCATTTTATCGTCGTTAATTTCATTCATCAGTGTTTCTCAGATTACCAGGATTCATTAAGATTTAAACCTCTGCCATCACTTAGCGATAGGAGCGATTTAAAATCATTTCACCGTCGAAAATTTAATTCATCAGTGTTTCTCAGATTACCAGGATTCATCCTAAGATTTAAACCTCTGCCATCACTTAGCGAAAGGAGCGATTTAAAATTATTTCATCGTCAAAAATTTAATTCATTCTTTTCCAGATTATCAGGATTTTATGAACTGACCTGTGTAAAAGGCAGTGGCTCCGATGTGGCACCGCAAGCGCCGCAAACGCTTTGCTCGACGAGCGTCATGGCGAACTTCTGGTGCGGCACGCAGTGTCTCGCGCTGCACATGTCCTCCGCCTCGCCGCTGGCGATGTGGAGGTGTATACGCAGGAGAATGTTTTCCTGTAACGAGATTCCGTTAATGCGACTACGTTTATTAGCTTCCCCGATGATAGGCCGCTATATATAGACGAGTCCCTGGATGGTTTATTGATTACAATTATTCGAAAAAGCATGCTCGAGGACAGCGATTTATTGCGACGAGCTTGATTTCCTCGATCCGTCTAATGATACTTGGAAAATCATTTGCGCGCCGAGCGACCACAAATTGTAAATTTACGCAAGCTCGTTATGATTTTTGTCGAATCTAATTTTTATATTATTGGAAATGTGGTTGGATATTTGATGTAATACTGTCTATGAATAATAGCGAGATGGGTTCTCTGATCAAGCTGTCGTTTCTCACCTGAATATTGAACTAGGTGAAAATACTTTATAAAATTTTACAGTGTTTACTTTCATGAAATTTTACAGAGAACAGTAATACTTCGAAGAGAAAATTGGCACAGCTGCTGTATCTTATCGAATTAAGCGAATCAAGAATTATCAACAATACACAATACAAAAACTCCCGAACAACTAACACTATAATTAAACACAACATATATTCATACTCATATATATCTACCACTTTATCTATTCGAGCATTACTTAGAAACTACCTCGCAGAAAGCAATAAACCGTAAATTGCCTATGAACTCTGTCCCCACGAATCTGCATAACCATCTCAAATCTTTCTTTATCGGTTGACCTCAATCAGTTCACAAGCAAATAAACGAACGTTCAATTTATATGTTATTACTCGATTACTAAATCCAGATGTTACGGGGTAGATAAATATTTTCTCTAAAGCCGCATTACCCACAGCGGAACCCATCGTGCCGAATCTGAATATCAACATAATACAGATCACGTAGGTATCGCGGAGGCAATAAGGAAACGAATCGCTCGATCGAATGGTTTTTTGCTAATCCGCCGGACTTATTGACCATTACACGGACCGACCTAAGTACCGCCATAAATCTCGCCCTCTTTCGACATTCACGCCGAGCAGCGATTTCCTTCGCGGCAGCAGAGAGGCGATTTTCCGAGCGGTTTGCGATCCTGAATATTCTGACGGCCGAACGAACCAGTTCCCCCTTCCCGTTGTACAGTTGCTAACTACACCGCGGATTGCCACAACGATATCTGTCCGTAGGGACCGTAGGTGAGTCTGTGCAAACACAGAGAACCCTGGGGAGACCACTTTCTCGTTTACAACGGAGTCACGTTTTGCCACGTGTTTGTGTGTATGCGTATATATGTCTGCGCGCGCGGTTGTGTCGACATCGGTCCGTTGAATAAAATGAATGTAACGTTACGAGTGCAGCCGCGCGGTGCGCGAGTATAATAAATGTGAGGACGACGGTGATCGCGGGGGCTCCGTTATCTCCGAACGCAGGAACACGCTGCTCGAGTTACGCGTTGCGCAATTAGCAGAAATTAAGGCGCTTTGTTCGACTGGCCTGCTGTCAGTGACCAGCCACCGTGACAACGACGGACCTCGAAAGTTTATTGATTTCATTATTTTTCTCTGATCGACGTATTTTGTTGACCAGTGGTTACCGATACGGTAGAATTTTGATAACTCGAACGAGAATAACTACAACCTCGATAGTTGCAACCTCAATGGTTGATAATTGAAAATTACTGAAACAACGATAGTTGCAACCTCGATGGTAAATAACTGAAAGTAACTGCAACACCCCGATAACTGGAACTTTGATAAATGAAATCTGGATAATCCAACGTGGATAGTTGCAAACTCCAGGGATGCAATTTCGAGAGATTCAACCTCGATGTTCAAAATTTCGATAACTGAAATTCCGATAACTTAAAACCCGATAAATAAAACCTCGATAATTGCAACCTAGACAACATGCAGAAAAAAGGCGTGGTATATAATCGAATGTATTTCAATAGAATATCGCAGAGAAAAGTATACTTTAATTCGTCCGAAACATTAGCCATTACCAAGATGTAATAATAGATTCTACAAATGAGCCCTTTATCATACATACGCCTCTAGTAACCGAAAGTGTATTCGAGATCTAAAACCTGCCATTCGTCTCGAGTGTTCTTAACATCCAAATTCGTCAAATCAACTCGTGGAAACGATTAACAGGCATTCCAGGTCGAGACGAAATTGCGAAGTGTCCGCTGGACGCGATACCGAAAAACCAGTTTCTCGCCTAGATTCGCGTGTTGCCCTCTCGCGGGACGGGCATAACAGGCAATATGGGCCGAGGTAATTGGTACTTACGAAACATTCCGCTGCGTCGTCCATGAATCCAAGCTGAAACCTCTGCTGATCGAGAAAACTCTCGGCCAGAGCGCGACGCAGCGTATCGGGCGGCAACGCGCTCTCTTGCGAAAACTGGAGCTGCGAGAACAGGTCCTGAAACAAACAAGGCGATGAAGATTTAGCGTCTGGGGTCTGAAACTAGAGCTGGAGTGATTTAACTATTCGAGAATTGTACGAATTCAAACGATTTAGAAACTACTGACAGATCAAACGTTTCAGTAGAGACGATAGAACTGGTAGAAATAATCTGTGGATCTATTGTGTAGGGACTAAAACTATGAAATACTTTCTATTCAATGAGGATTTGTGTTTTCGTGTTCTTGAAGTTAATTGTAATGTAAAATACAAATTGGAGTAGAGCGTATTGGAATTATTTAACTATTCGAGCATTGTACGAATTCAAATGATGTGGAAACTCGGTGAAAATTCGGTAGAGACGATAAAGCTGTGGTAAAAATAGTCTGTGTATCTACTGCAATGACCAAAAATATAAAACTACTCTCTCTCCAAAGAACCTTTGTATTCTAGGAATCTGAATGTTAATTTTACTATAAAACAATTTTTACCATTTAATCCTTGTTTACTGTACATTAAACTATTGCATTACTTGAATTAAATTGAACCTGAATTAAAATCAAATTAAAGAAATCTATTTTCCTATTGCAAGGTTCTAATATATGTATGTTAGTGGCGTTAAATTAATTGACAAATTTCTATAATAAGAATCACAATTACGAATCAAACATTGGCAATTGACCCGAACAGTGCACGAGGGTTAAATGAGAAGATATAAATACTGAAAAGTCTTATTATTAATAATATGTTTCCAGGAGAACTATCAAACTAAATATTATTTTAACTATCACGATGAATTGTAATAACTCCAGACGATGATAAAGTGATATGAATAGTACAGATAGAGTCATATGATTGATTCGAGCTTACATGTATAATGCAGAAGTAAGATGGATAATAATGGAATTAAATGGCATTAAATAACAAGACGGAATGAAGTTATAAATAATTAAGCAATGGTGGTAGAAGATATATACGCTTTTGCTTCGTAATTTTCTGCACCTCTAGATTCCAGAGTTTTGTAAAAAAATGTTTAGCTTCGGACGTACGGTTAAACGAATGAACATTCTGGGGTAAAGAAGTTCCTTGGCGCGACAGCCGGATGTATTGTGTACAGAATAGACTATGAACAATGGCGAAGGCTCTCCACGTGCCACGGAAGACTGTTTAAATATTCCCTTTTTTGTGCGTGCAGCATATGGTACCGAAGGTATCGAAACAAACGATGTATACTCGAACGACCTGATCACGAGAGACGGAGAAATTTTATTATTGTGTAACACGGTATGCAATTTTTTTCCTCCGCAATGTTGAGTAACAATTGTGGTATCCATATTACAAGGACTGTCAGTCTTATTATGTAATATTATTTCTGAGTAATAATAAATAATATGGGAAAGTAAAATTGGGAACGTACTTCAAGATATTATGTACAAAATCTGTTCTCATATAGAAAAAGTATTAATAATATTGTCAATATCGTATATTGTTTCATATTATCTATAAAATTTGTTATATATATAAAATTATTAAAAATGTGTTTTTACCATACTTTTACTGGTACCAGTTTAATATACATCATATATATTCTAAGACTACCAAAATGAAGAAGTCCTTTCAAAGAAAAAGGAACAAATGAACTGACTATGAATAAGGTAAGCCACGTCAAAGAAATAAATTTTCTGCTTTTTAGTGGACACACGGAATACTGGTTTCCTGAAGACGCTTATTAATATTCATGACTGCTGAAAATATATCTCCATATTAAAATGGCTTCGTTTTGACGGCTGGTAGATGTCCCCTTTCTTTTCTCCCTGTTCAGTAATTTTTATTTCATTGAACGACACGCCGTTGATTTTGAAAATACATTTATTAATTATCACAACAGTGGAAATGAAATGTCTTTCACGAATAAATCAATAGCTAACTATATTTTGCTAGAAAGTTTTCTTTCAATCTGAAATATGTATCACCTGGCACTTGATGAGACAAATTCCTTTAAAATTTGTTACTGTTTTCTTAAAAAATTATACTTAGAACTTCCAATGCTAAGTTAAGGAAAGACTACAATTAATTGTAGCAGATAGATGATTAAAAGGTCCAAAATGCTCACAAAATTCCCAAAATTTTTACAACCATCATTATAAAGTATACTATTTTAATACTCTCAGAAATATAGGATTTCGCACAATATGTAAAGCACGCAAAACACCTTCATTAATTTGTAAAAATACCATACAACAATCTATAATCTAATCTATCAAAGTTATATTTAACAGTAATTCGTTAAACTTTGCAAAACGTCCATCACTCATTACAAATTTTCATTTAAATACTTTTTACCCTATTTGTACCTTCCCCTGATTTCTCCTATTTTATTCCAACAACCGTGCATCGCACAACAAAATCATTGTAACATTAAAGTTTCCACGCGAACCGTAAGATACACAAACGATCAGACAATAACACGTCTATAAACGTCAGTTCATGTTCCCAACACGAAAAACCATCGATGAACGAACTCCAACGACCAAATTACACCCGCGTAAACCGACGTCCGGGCGGTTGCAAGTGCAAAAGGAAACTCATAACGCCCACGCACTCTCAATTTCCCATTACATAAACGTATGCAAATCCCAGGGCGTATATGTAAATCGGATCGGCGACCCGAACGAAATCCCCGGTTTAGTCATCGCGAGAGAGGCGAACGCTACCGCCTCCCCGGTTCCTTTTCCCTTAATCAGCATATCGCGCCGCGGCATGAATGAAACGAGCGAACCGATTTCGAAACCTTGCTCGAAGAGTGGGAGAAGAAAAATCATCTTCTTCGACGGTGTTACCCGCGAAAAACCGCGGCAATGGTGACGGATTTTTCTCCCTCTCAATATATAGCACGATTCACAGTGGTCCAAAATAAAAATTTAGCAGGTCATATTCTTATTTAATTGAAGCAATTAAAAAATTTTGACACGTACATTTTGATGTAAATAGAAGCATATAAATGAAAGAAATTGTATCGATTTTAGGGATCTTCGATAATGTTATCATTTACTAATAATCTGGTCAATATCTTAATGAAAATATGAATTCTTAAGGAATATTTTTTCTATTTTCGACTAGGATTGATGATATGGAAGGGTTTAGTATCGCTTGGAACAAATTTTCCATGGTTAATGATAAATTGATGTGAGTTTTTTAGAAAATAAAACAAAAGGGTTTTCGATCATTTGAAATGCTAATTTTTTATTTTAGACCACTGTGTCGATTGTGCAAAAATTCCGCGAATAAATTACGATCCGCGCGGGCTAAACGAGTTAGTTTCGTAACTAATCTTCGAGGGATCGGCGGGCAACGGTCACACGTAGAAAGTAGCCGTTTCTGGAGGGGTGGTTGCTCAACGAAACGTTGGGACGAGAAAAAGTTTAACGAAGAAAAAACGTGACGGAAAAGCATGTGAATATTTCATGAATAATGGTTAATTTTCTTCTGTGGAGGCCCTCGAATTGGACGCGTAGCTTTTCGGGTTGAGGTTAATGGCTAATGCTTTTGCGAAGAGGAATTTCGTTTACAGTGAGTGAAAATAGAAATTTTTATATGGCTAGTAAATTATTCTGTAACTAGGGTTGGTTTTAAAAATGAAGGATTTTCAAAAAAATCAACCAAAAATTACTTTACTTCCTTTACTATTCCCCCAAATTCCAAATAAAATAAAACCCTCTTTGCACTTTATGAAACACTGAATAATAGGTACTGAATTGTAGATAATCCCTTACGGTATACATAAAATCCACAATCTATTTAATACCTATCAATCTAATAATACACAATTAAACGACAGAATCACATGGTAAATAAATAAAAAAAACGAAAATTCACTGATACATCGAATCGAGTATATGTACGATACAATAATAAGTAGACTGTTGATTTTATACATTTACAACGTACTCCAAAATTCAATATATTAAGGAGTTCAATAAAATTTAATTCAGTTTTCATTTTATTTAGGATCTGATAGAACCTTTCATACAGTAAACAAATATATATTTCTTCCTAATTTTCATAAACAAATCCTCAAAAGTGCACAAAGATCCGCAGTCTAATTGCAAATCAAACCAGTTATCTACGATATAGTTTATAATAAAGACTGTTACTCGTTGAATCAGGTAATTCAGTTCACGTGTTAAAAAAAATAGTGCTCGGTTTCTAACGTTTCACTCTCTAACGAAAAGATCGACGCGCGAAGAACCGCAAATGACCGGGTGAAATTGGTCAATGAAAGTCGTCCGATCGGTATCCGGCACCGAGGAGTGGTGACAGCGGTAATGGTAGTGATAGACGTGCTCCGGCTGGCTCCGATACGAAGACCACGATAGCGAGCTTGAACGTTCACGAGCATCGAGAAGGATGTCGCACCTGTTCGAAGCAGGTTAGCCTGGGTATCGAAAAAACCAGACGCGGCTCGCACAAACAACATTGCTGTTCGAGTGAAATCGATGAATGGAAACGATTTGCCATGATTTACTCGAGAGCGTAACATTCGCGGAAATTATTAACTCTGAAAATTTTTGTAGACATTTTGAGAGGAATGAAATTGACTCGATCGTACAGACGAAACTTTCAAATGGTAAATTAATGTTTTATGCATTTGTTGTGGATAGAACTGAGTAAAATGGAATTTACTTATTTTTAGGAAACTTTGATAAAATAGAATACAGACGATTTTCCTCTTTCCCAAGAGGTTACTTTACAGTATCATAAACGTCGTCCATCGAGCTTTAATATCCTCTGAACAATATTTACTTCAGCAATTTCGTAATGTCATGTAATATTTACTGCGTATTCATAATTGTTTTGATACTTATGAGGGGAAGTGTATGTATGTATTTAATATCCGTTTTCGTGTATCAATTCATAGAAATACTATATATTTGCAGAAATACAGGTAGCCTAGGTGATCTTTGTCACTAATTACACATATTAAGATTACAGTAGTTTCGTGTCTTTCAATATAAAAC